GTCGTAATCAGGTGGTGAAAACATTCGAAATGTTTTTTGATCTTTTACTAGAACAATTCAATCAAAGTGTCGCAGGACTTTCCGTCCAACCTAATAGATTTGAGAGAATGCCGGGTCGTTCTCCTTCCCCATTCGGGATGCAGTGAATGTTCCCTTCCAACGTCGGAGTGATGCCATCTTTGCCCTACAGGATACTTATTCCATTTAGACTTCAACTGCATAAGGTAAAAGGAAAATTTCAAATCGCCGACGGCATCTCTTTACTCTGTCGACAGGTGTACTTCTTGGTCCGGGGTAACGGAATCAGTCAAAGGTGCATTTGGCCGGTGGTTGTACAGAGACTGACAAAGTGCCAGCGAATTCAGCGCCATCAGGTTGCAGTGGCAGTGGTGCTCACAAGTGCTCATCCTTTCCCGCTCACCAGCGCTCTGCACGTTCCTCCCAACGCGGCTTGGGTGGCATAATGGCTAGGCGTGGGACACAACAACCTGTTTAACGGCGCTTCGAAAGAGATCCGGAGTTCACTGGTGGTATGCTGTCCGATCATATGAAAACGTTGAAACATCAGTCGGTCACAGTACATTACCAAGGAAAAGATGAGTGTTGACTAAATTATCGCTTGTTTATGACTTCTCTTCAGAGGAAATACCTTTCCGGGAATGAACTCACTGTTGGTATTCCTCTTCAGAAAGGAAGAAAACCTCTGAAGCAGATCGACTGCAATGCTCAGTAAGTCTGATGTGACTATATGTTGTCTCCAATGACATGTTGAGCGTTTTAATGGGACAACCCGGCGTCGTGACTTCCACATCACGACAGCGGACAGCGTGCAAAAGCTATGTCTCCACTACACCAGTCATGACATCGCAGAGTGGTTCCCTTTGCTTCGAGAGGCTGCGTTCAAGCATCACTGCGTCTATCAGCGTCTACCAGCGTCTATCAGCCACTCGAGGGCTAGAGAAATGTAAGTATCGATATAGCGTTTATCGGCGTCCACCAGCGACCAGCACTGTATGGGAGACTATTGACGATAGGAGGGTAACACGGCGTTTGCTACCTCTGTCGTGCTCGCACTCCAGACACTGGTAGACGCTGATGGACGCTGGCAAACGCTAGATCAATGTCTGTACTCCCCTAGCTCTCGGCGCTGGAGGACGTTGGCAGACGCTGATTGGTATCTATACTCCCCTTGCTCTCGTACGTCTCTTACAAGTCGCTGACGCTTGCCGGAACGCTCGGAACTTTGTTCGCGCCATTGGTCGGTGGTGGACCCTGCCGCAAAGTACATGAAAGCAGCCTAATTTACAGTTGGGTGCGTCTACAATCTTCTTCATTCCACTCACGGACGCGACGGATGCATTGCCGATTTTAGTGCCACATGCTTCACAACTAAGGCACGGCGCGTCCTGGAGGGCGCTAAATCAGATGTCTTGGACACAAGTAAGGCACGAACATTTCGTTGCAAATCACGCAGCATGCTCCTAATTCCTTGTTTTTGCGCTATCTCCTTCCCCTCCCCTCCTACACCTCTAGATTCCACTAGAGAAAGTACTCGTCGGATTATGGAGCGTTCATACTCCAAACATTGTAGGTGCGACGAAGGACAATTATTTTATTTCAAAATGGGGCAGAATGCTGGTATTTATTCCAAGATTATGGTAGATGGAGCCAAATGCGAATGGTATGATTCGAGCGCCATTGGATTTTGCTAATATGAGAAGGATTTTTTTTTTCTAGTCTTCTGATCGCGTCCATTTTCGTTTCAGGATGAAAATTTGTACTAATGGACAACAAGGGGTTAAACGAAAAAGATATCACTGTTATGACACAGACCTTATCAACGTCTATGTGCGAAATGGCTTTGTAGTAATGCCTGGCGCCCGTAGGTTTTAAAGTAGACTTGTTTACTTGTCACTTTCAAGGGCCGCATTAACTCCAGGGAACCGACATATGAGTCGTTTGATAAGACATTTAACACTGCAACCTGTATCTTGCCGGAGGGGGGGTCACTGCCTTTTTAGGCCATCAAACCGATCATTTCCTGCCGCTCGATTTTGTCAATGCCAATACCATCAAAACAAATAACAAATACGAAAAACGCCAACGACAAACTGAGCTATGTAAGCGGGAAACAGACTTCAGAGTTGCGACTGACAGCACCCATGACAACTTGAAGACAATTTAGGTGGCACTTCTAAAGGTCACAGTGCCTTCTTTACTCATAGTGGATCCGCAAAAGTGAGATAATCTCAGAGATTGAGGACCAAACACCTTGTACAGGGATGGATGTCTACGAATTTATCTCGAAGACCGTCTGGGACTGTCTCAGAGACAAACTGTACACTCACCTCAAAGAAAAGTCCTTCCAAGAAGAGTGCTTTCTATGTGTTAAGGAATGAGTCCGTAGTGTGCCATTTACTCAAGATATTGAAATGGTACCGCAGGAGAGCAGTACTCGAGTACCTTCTCAATAATCCGCCCGCGCTATAATCAAGGTGCAGCTTTTACATGGATACTAATTGTAAAGAAACACGTAGAATTAAGCAGGGCGGCTGTGCAGGCGCAAGTATGGAGACGCACCCCTTTCGGTCCTTAAACTTTAGTGCCCGGAAGAAAAGGCACAGCTGTGGACTCATTCACCCCACACACGGTAAGGATCGGGATCCACGAAAGTAAGTGTACAGTTTGTCTTCTATGGGAATTGACTCACGCTCTTCGGAGAATCTGCAGTTTAGGAAAGTGCGCGATTCGAGAGAGTGGGTAGAATGCGTAAGGAAAGTGTGGGCAAAGTCAATCGATTCCCATCTTATATTAGTTTGATAGAATTTTCGGTGAGAATCCCCTCGTAGAACGAAAACTTCAGCCCATCAACGAGGAAGTTGCCATCAGTATCTAAGAATTCACACTGACCGAGCACTGACCAGGTTCCCTTTCTGTTCCTCAGAACTCTGGCCACTGTGATGAAAAGAATCATTTGATGTCATTTCTGACTTGACATCGAGTCGGATGCGTGGTGCTCACAGAAGTGATGCCAGTCGACGATAAGTGGACTTCTTCTAATAGCTCTGACAAGAATGTGTTTGACAAGCATCCTAAGGTCTCCAAACCAACTGAGAATGATATTGGCTCGATGAATGGGTTTTCCGTGCAGCGCGGAACCGTCACAACAAAAATACTACGAGGACTTTTCAAAATAATGAGCACAAGATAAGCGTTTGAGATTGGATTGTCTTTTATAATCCAGCTGAAAATCGCTGGTCTGGCCAGAGCTTTAGGTCTATCTCAGAGGTCTCCAACTTGTCGGCTCTTGAGAGCTTTCTAGAAAACCGGCTCACGATCTTGTAGGACCCAGTGCTGCCTTTTTTCCAGAATGATAGTTGACCTCACACTGAAGGGCCACTCGCCACAGTTCAGAAGAGCGAGACTGCAACCGGGTGACACATCTACCATGTAGGGCTAGCATTAACCCGTACCCGAGGACTGCCATCTGCTTTTTCTTCTGACCACCATCTAGTGGGAGGATAAAAAATATATATACAGGGGGGCCAAAAAAAAGTCATTCCGGCCGAGTCACATATGAGCGAAGTTTTCGCAGCCCAGACAGAGGAAGTGGATATGAGTACCAGGGCGGAAGATACCCAAGATCTTCCTCTATAAGCAGGAGCCGGCTGCCGCCATTCACCTTCATGTACACCAAAATATGAAGTCATCTCCAGTCGCGGCCTGAGTGGAGAACGCCTTTGGAATTCACGTGGCCTCCAAACAGCTGCGGAACTTCTTGAATGGAATCACCCATGGATAGCTACCTGGAGACCAGTACTCTTGATCTGCAAGACCTCAAACATCGAGCAGCTCCGGCAACGTCGCTACGGTCCAGGACATCATCTTCACCCCATTCACCAAGGCGCCAGTTGATGGTGTGGACCGGCCGCCCCTGGAATGGGAAGACCGATATTTTCTTTGTAGACCCCGACTGAAAGGTGAAAGCGCTCTGCGGTTTACATCAGCGTTAACTCGAGAAGGATATCCTCCCTACATGTGGTCGCCCGTACCTTCTTGGAGACCTTGTGCTGCTACAGGTTTGTGCCACCACATGGAATCGAAAGGGTTTTGGAAAAACTCCCGCCTACTTCGAATGGGAGGGCGTTTCGTACCTGGTGAAGATGTAATATTGAAATATGTCCCCTAACCTAAACCCACTCAATTACCTAGTTCGCCGGCGCAGCTCAAAAAAAAAAAAAAACAAGGGTCTACAGTGGCGGAGAAATCAACGATCTCGCTCAACTCCGGTACCCACTCACTTTCGCGCGGCCGAATCTCTCGATGGCGCTCCTCCAGAAGGCTGTGGCGGAGTATCATTATAGTTAATGTGCTCTTTAATATGGTAGTAAAAATGTCCGATAAAAATTTCAATAAAGTGTAACTTATAGCGCCTTGAAAGTCATGGAGGCAAAATGACTTTTTTTTTGGCCCCCCCCCTGTACTTTGGCATCTGGGTACCAAACCAAATTCAGCAGCAAAAATAGGCTTTGGTGTACTTAACGGTTCCAGTAAATTTTTCAGCGAACGGTTTTCCTATACGACTTGTGAAAAGCACGAAAGATGTTAATTCTCCGAAGAAGTTATCATCACGGCCTACCCAAATTGGATTCGATTACGATGGAGAGAGGGTGAGTTGAAAACACTGCACATGAAAGCTGTTCACAGTAAACAGTTTTGTTCACGAAATTAGCCGAAAAAGGCGTTAACTAGGAGCGCAAGGCAATGTGCAAACCTTTCAAGAAGCGTTCCAAAAGACCTTACCTTAAGTAGTTTTACTACGAACTTGCTTTCTCAGTTCATTCCACGTTGATTTCTATGGGCAGAAACAGTCGTGGAATCAACGACGACGAATATTATCAACCTTCTTAGAAGGACGCGTCCGATTAAACATTTTGGCTAACGTACGCTACCGTACACATCACATGGTATTGCTCACTGAAACGAACACACGTTGATGATTCCATGTTTTACGGATTACGCCTGGACCTCTTCTGTTTAAAACAGTTTTGTGAACTGTCTGCAGAAAATGCCCACACATTAAGGCGGCCACGCTTGTTTTGATTCTCTTGCAGAAGTCGGCGAACAGAGGCACTCTGTAGTTACGGCCCAGTAAGCAAAACACCGGAGGAAACGCCTTAGCCCGAAATGGGATCAATGTGAAGAAAAAAACCACGGCAACTGCAAAGGAGATGTGGAAACACATAATAATATCAGCAGGGATCATTACAGAAGCAAGGACATTTGAACGCCATTTTCGCGAAGCAGCTGTCGAAGTTTTGCGGGAACAGCTTTGCAATCTTTCTATCTCAAAAGCTTTCTGCTAATTCTCAGCTGCCTCGAAGGCGATGAGTGGGGCATCGCTAATGGTTGCAATGACTGCGACGGTGTGACTGTTAGCCTTAGCGATGGGTGCATCACCTGCCAGTTTGGCCACCCGTGTCGTTGGCTCCTCCGCTTCAGTATGCAGTCCAATGGAGTGTATTAGGTTGTCGCATAAGTTCTTATACACGTGTTTGATCCTCTCCTATTTCGTTCGCATGGATGTTGGTATTACGTCATCACGTGTGCGTGACGTGTACATTATACTCTTTCATTACACTAGCTATCACTCACCGAGCTTGCATTTGCAGTACACAATGTCGCACAATTTGCACTGTGACAAAACGTACCTGCGCCACTGTTTGGTTTTGCTCCACGATTTCGGCTGGAATGCAAAGGAAGCCCATACCAAGCTGGTGGATACATACGGTGAGGAACGTCATCATTGGTTCGCCAAATTCAAGAAAGGAGACTTTTCTCTCGAAGATGCTCCGAGGTCGGGTCGGCCGATGGAGTTGGATTTGGAAGTACTACGTTCCACCGTGGAGGACCCGTACCTCACCACCAGAGAAATGGCGACCATGCTTAGCTATGATCATTCGACGGTTGCACACGTGGACTAGAAAGGCTCCGCGCGCATAAGGTAGCAAAGCTTGGTCGATGGGTCCCACATGAACTGTCCGCTTATGACCTCTCGAGGAGGGTGACCACCTGCACTTCTCTCCTCACTTTCCAAAAGAGGCTTCACTTTCTCAACTCGATGATCACTGGAGATGAGAAGTGGGTCCTCTACGATAACCCTGTGAGGAAGCGGCAGTGGGTCGACAAAGGAGAACAGCCAGAAGCCACCCCAAAGGCCGACCTTCACCCCAAAAAGGTTCTCCTGTCCTGTTGGTGGTCCAGAAGAGGCATGGAGTACTGGGAGCTGCTGGAGAAGGGACAGACGATTGACGCTTCCACATACGTGACCCAGCTGCGGAAATTGAAAGATCACGTCGACCGTACTCG